AGAGACGTGAACACCACAGGGGGAATGTCTGTGGAAAAGGTGCTGAAGGCTCACTCGGGTGAAAAGAGGAGGCTGGTCGCACACAGACTGGGAAGGGCTAAGTGGGGCACAGGAGCCAGAGGGCCCCCGATGAGAATAGGTGGCAGGATTAAAACTGGCATGCCGTGCTTCGAGGGAGGGGTTGCCATGTGTGTCATGCAAATAACAAGCTTACATACTTGCACCAAACCTCACAACACAACTACATCCTTGCGTCATTCACACAATGAATCACGGCCCACAAGGTACCATTTGGACATCACCGAAGCTTGGGAGGGTCGCCTGTGGTGTCTTGTGAATGCAGCTGCTTCTCCCGACCTTTGTCGTCAGAGCCATTTGGAGTCCGGTTCAAGGCCGAGCAGAAGGAGGGCCAGGGCCAGCTGGTGCCTCTTCCAGGAAAGGGCTCTGGAGTCAACCCTGCTCCAGGAATCCCTCCTCCAGTGAACCTGGTGCCCAAAATGTTGGGCAGGAGAGTTGGGTCAGGAGAGGGCTGGGCCTGCATGTCTCAGACCAGGCTGCTTCCCAGAGCCCAGCGGATGGGCCTGAGGTGGGCATCGGTGGTTCAGCTCAAAGTGGGAAGGGAAGCGGCCTCCATCTGCGTGATGATTGAACCGGAGGGTCACACGAAGTCAGGAGATTGCCTGGGTGTTGTGTGCTGGTGTGTTAGCCTGAGTGGCTGTTGTGTGCTGTGAAGCCCACATGACTGCCTGGCCCTGGCTTGCCATGGGGGCGGTCTTCCTGCTTCCTCAGCCCTTCACTCCCACCCTACCCCGAAAAGAGACCCGCTGTGGCTGGGATGTCCCTCTCGCCCAGGCTGGCACAGCAGAGGCGTCCCCTCCTCCTCCTCCTCCTCCTCCTCCTCCTCCCCCTCCCCTGTTACGCCAGATGGGAAGGGGCTTGGGATGGGAAGGAGAGGCGCTCTGGGAGACGAGCCTCTTCCTTAGCTACCCTTCCACCTCCCCCCAACCCCAAAGCACTGAAATGGCACTGCTGCCTGGCCCCAAATACTCGGCCACAAGATCTGGGGGTCCTGGAGTGTGGGTGTGTGGCCCGTTTATAAATGTGTCATAGGAAAGGCACAGGAATCCAGGGCTTTTAGAAAAATTATTTCAAACCAGAATGGCGGAATGGCAGTGCTCCAATGCAGCGTCTGAAGCCCTTTACTTTTCACGACTGACAGGAGGGGCAGAGCAGCCGAAGTGAGGGCCCCCTGCAGAACCCAGTGGACGGAGCCCTTCCAAGCCTCAAAAGTGGCTGCCAAAGAACCTCGATGGGCCAACGCCATGGGGGCCGCTGAGGGCACCTATGGGCCCATCTGGTGAGGCCCCGGGAGAAGAAAGAGCGAGACTTGCAGGGGGAGGGAAGGAAATGGCAAAAATAAGGATGAGCATAAAACAGAAGATGAAAAGAGGACAGGTGTGTGTCTGCCAAACTGAGAGAAAGGGGAAGGATGGAATAGGTGGTCTGATCTTGTGGAGTGGAGCTGAAGAAGGAGCAGGTTTAATTAGAATGGATCTGTTGAAGAAAGAGCGAGACTTGCAGGGGGAGGGAAGGAAATGGCAAAAATAAGGATGAGCATAAAACAGAAGATGAAAAGAGGACAGGTGTGTGTCTGCCAAACTGAGAGAAAGGGGAAGGATGGAATAGGTGGTCTGATCTTGTGGAGTGGAGCTGAAGAAGGAGCAGGTTTAATTAGAATGGATCTGTTTGTTCTGAAAGTGTGGTTTAAGTATGTACAGTAAGTCTATTCATATGTATACATGGCCAAGGAATGAATATAAATCTAGAAGCATGATTGGATTGCCTATGACGAAAGACTGAGAGAATTAGCATAAAGCAGAAGGACAGGCTCTTTTGTATTAATGTCAGGAGGGTTGAGGACAATGTCATGAAGTCATGGGTTTAAGAAACTGTTAGTGGCTTTTCAGATGGTCACTCGTGACTGCATTATTGCTGTGTGCTCTATATGGGACCGCCCTTGAAGACTATCCAGAGGCTATAGCTGGTTCAAAATGTAGTGGTGCAGGCAGTAATGGGCATTTCTCGCTACGCCCA